CATAATCCCGTGGCAGACGCCCAAGGACAGCCAGGATCTACAGGGTCAGCTGGTGTCATCGGTAGAACCGGTAGTTGCAGCGCTGATCTCTCCATGCGTATCTTCGAGGTGGATTTCTCGGGAAGAGCTCTCGGACAGCTGGATACAGCTGGCTTCAAAAATATCTTCCCGCACTTACAGTACTTTCGAAATGCCGGTTGATCTCAGCAAATTCATTTTGCTCAGCAGTCTCCTTATGCCACGGTATTTTCTTTCCTCTTCTCCTTGCTCTCAATACCTACACATCATCAGATAAGTACCTTTCCCATAAAGTAGCACCGCTGTAAAAATAAAATGCCACGGTAAACCGGAATCCACCACATGCAACTAAATACTTCTAAATGCATCTACATGGTCCTAAATGAGCCTTTAAACATTCAATAACTTAAGTTAAAAGGCCCCAAAATGTGGCCTTTTACTGAGTTATCACATATCATTTAATCAAACATGTTATAAATTATTTCTAACACTTCAAATCTCTTAGCTAGGATTTTGACAAGTTAATTATACCTTTAAAATCCATTTATCAAGCAATTTACAAATTTTCACTTCCAAACCCAAATTATTTATTCCCTAATAACTTCTTATTAACTTAGTTTTTCTTCATTTTCCAAGATTCTTTAATCTTCTCTATATCTGAAAGCTTTAATACAACCCAAAATTTAAGAAAATAAACAACTTAAAAGAAACTCACCTTAAAACCCAAGAAAGCACGAACCAAGATAAGAAGAAGGAAATAAACTATCCAGAATTTTCCCTTCTTTATCCACTTAATATCTTAATATAAAATGGATATAAAATCCATATACTGAAAAGGACCATATTGCCCTTCTTCTCTTCTTTCTTTGTAATTAACTCATAATACAAAATATACAACCATTGGTCCTTGAACTTATCACTTATTCCAATTATACGACTAAATTTTAAATTTCATACATTTGGATCATTGACCTGTTGTTTGGGGTATTATAAGGGGTGAGAATTGTCAAGTTTTTGACATTTCAAAATCGAGTTCTCCACCATTCACCGTTGTAAACTGAGTTTGGTAAGTATCTCAAAACCCCTTAAAACGTATGTAGAAAGTTTTTTTGATTTTTTCGACATCTAGAGGCCTTGTATGCGCCACCCCTAGGCGTGGGGAAGTCCCACCACCTGGTGGGTTGTTTGAATTTGGGTCAACCGGACCCGACCTGTCTGCTTAACTTGACCCGACCCGAATCGAACTGGTCAACTGTTGACTATTGACCGACTATTGATCATTGAACAGCATTCACTTTTTTTCGAAAATCTTCGTCTTGATGTTTTTCAACGTCCTGGGTCTAATTCCGCAATCCATTTTGCCAAATTTTGACCTGAAAGCCTCAAATTGATCCCATAAATCCAAAAATGCATAGTATTTTTAGCATTTTTGCTTATTTATTTAAGATTTGATTATGAAATTGATTCGAGAATATATTTTTATGAATGTACTTGTATTTCACTTGATTGAGGGTTGGTTAGATCCAGTGTTTCTCGTCTGTCAGATCTGCACGATCTGTGTTCCTCGAGAGTTACTCATAGGTATCTGTAAATTGTTTAAATAGGTGTTATTATTATTATTCATATTAGGATTTCGATATGGATTTTTCTGATTCGTACGATCTAGTGTTGCCGCTGATAGTGATCGACAGAGTCATAATAGGTTTTCTTCTCGGACTACTAAGACCGGTACAAGTGTGTTTCCTGATAGTGTTACATTATTGTTTTAGACTGTTTATCTTAACTATTTTAGATTTCTAATAATACTAAATATTTTTATGACACAGTACCTGATTTTAAGAATATTGTTTATCTGATATCTGATATACTGTATATTTCTGACGTAATCCCTAATTTCTGTATTTTTTGTATCTAATTTCTAAATCTGAAATATCTTTCATGTTTTACTGAATTAAACTGTCGTTTTCACTTGAATACATACATGTTTATTACTGTCATTTGGGGTATTATTGGAGGAAGAATCTCAGGCCTAGTATATGACTTGTAAGTCCTTACCGCAAGCTCTTCAGCTTTGTGATCAGGGTAAGTCCTTACCGCAGGCTCCTCAGCTTTGTGCTCAGGGTAGGTCCTTACCGCAAGTCCTTATGCTATGTGTATAAGGCCCTTACCGGGTGTACAGGTGGGTGTATGGTTCTGGGAAACCTACACATTCTGGTGATCAGATGGGGGTAGTGTTAATATTTTTAAAATATGTTTGACAAACTGATTTTACTGAAGTATTTTATATGTATGTTTTTATACACTGTAAGGAGCACACTGGGCTTTCAACTCATTCTGTAAATTTTAGCCTTTTCAAATAGTAGCAGACCGTAAGCTAGCAAACTTGGCCTCAGGAGGACCGACTACTCTTATTTTTGTATTATTGTATATCTCTATACCTTTTTTTATACTTTGGTGACACTTGTTTTTGCTATTGTCTCGATATATCTGTATTACTGGTATTTTGCAATGTATATGTTTTATATGGTTTTTCTGATATATGTATATATTGATATATGGATGTTTATTGTATGAACCTTTCTTATGACTAATTTCATATTATATTATTATATGATTTTAACATTGTTTTAAATATGAAAAGAAATTTTTGAATAAGATATATAACCGCCTAGATTTGGGCATAACGTCCAAGTCGGGTCTAAGGTTACAAAATGTTGATCCGAAAATAAAAATAGGAGGTGTATCGTTTTAAATTGTGTACGTAAAAGCAAATTATTTTTTAATTATGATAGAGAAAATAATTGTGAGAGATGTAAGTTCATTTAAAATTATGTATTTTTTAAAAAATATATTTTAATTTTACTAAGTAATAAATAAAAAAATTATTAAAAATTGTTAAAAGATATCTCAATTGTTTGGTCGAAACCCACAACAATCAGAAAGATAGCTTTGAGATTTTGATTCTTGACTCTCTAAGAAGATTTTAAGAACATCTCGACTAAGGAGAATAAGACTTATTGATCGTATCTAGCTTATTGTGACTTACATTGTATGCTAAATAATTGTATGATTCATCTTGAATTAGTGTGGATAAAAATTCATAAGGACTAAATCGATGAAATTGATAAACTAAACTGGCGAAATTAGCCAAGTGATAGCAAAAAGTGATTAAGAGGAATCAATCTTATGCCCTAAGCTAAGCTTAAAGGGCTTTGTTTTTCAATTCTATCAAAACAATGAATGGAAAAAATATTTTTTTCTTAATTAAAAATTGTTGAGAGATCTCTCAAGTATTTACTCGAACTCACGACAACTAAAGAGATGACCATGAGATTTTATCCCCCGGCTCTTAAGAGGATCTTGAGAAATATCTTAACTAAGGAATATCTTCTGTATTATAACTTACATTATATGTTTAACCATTGTATGATTCATTTTGAATTAGTGTGAATAGAAACTCATGAAAACTAACTCGATAAAATTATCATAATAATAATATAATGGAATTGAGAGGAATCGATCTCATTCCTCGAGAAAAGTTTAAAGGGATTTGTAAACAATATATTTGCTTAGGGCATGGGGATCATTCCTTCCTATACCAATTCGTAAAATTCATTTACTTAGTTTATTTATTATCATTTCAATCTTTATAAATTTTCATCTAAATCAATTTGAGATGAAACATACAAAATGGTTCAAAACACAAGATAAATGATGATATGTTAAATATAATTAAAGACCATGTATTCTTTTATCGATGCCCTATAGAAATCATCTAAGAGTCGGGAGACAAAATCATAAGATTAAAAAACTATAAAACATTTAAAAATATAAATACAAGACAAAAACGTTTATATTACAAATTTACAATGAAATTCGCCAAGTTGGTTTTGCTTAAATTCGGTTGGAGCTGTCTCCTCCTTTTCTGGTGGGGGCTCGATAGGGGTTATTATCCGTGATCCTGACGGAGGCTGGATTGTTGGCTTCAATAATTACATTGGTATAAGCTTGGTCCTCCTCTATGAGGGTCTTCTTCTTGTCGAAACCTTGGCCACTCAGGGTTTGTCGTGCAATCAGATAATTCTCAAGTAATTAAACTGTTGAACGATGTGAGTGCTGCTCAAAATCCAATCTCTCTTGTTCGGACCATAGCAGACTTGTGTACTCCGGCATGGGAGCTGCATTTCCAATGGATTTCTTGACGCAAAAACAGTGGCATATCGTCTTGCCAAGCTTGTCTCGACGGATCATTTCGACCTTGTTCAGTTTGCCTCCCCTCCGGTGGAAATTCGAGATCTCCTTGTTCAGTTTTTGACTGATGTCTAAGTTTCATTCTCAATTCAATTCAATTCAAAAAAAAATCTCAGCTTTCTTCTTCCTTGTGTTCCATATAATTGATTATATATTTTATAATATTTTTTTACAAAACATCATTAAATTCAGTTTGAAATTAAAAAATTATGTTTATAAAGTTGAATCTTATATAAAAATTGATTTTTTTTAAAAATTATGTTTACAACGAATATAAAGAAAATTGATTTTTAATAAAAATAAATTTATTAAAATTCAAATCCATCAGATCACTGAGGTACTTGGTGAAAATGGGTCTTCTACTAAGGCACTCTCTGAGGTGGCTAATATGTTCGTTAATCAAGCACTGCAAGCATCTAGGAACTAGAAATCCCCCTTTTCAAATATTCTTGCTCTCCTTTTACCTTCTATAGTTCAATCGACATCGTTGCAATTATAACATAAGCTGTAGATTTAAACACACACCATATCCGACATATTAGAATTCGAATAACATAAATGCATAGTAGAGCCTATTAAAATCCATCAAGCACATGAAAATTAAAATAAATGTGTTGCTTCTTACACCAGGAAGTATTTAAGGCCAACAATCAGCCTACTTTTAATTCTAATCCACATAGCTGTTAAGTATAGCTGAATTAAGACTCCAGTCTATTCAAAAGTTAATTATACAACTGCTACATACAAAAGAACAACTAAATTCCTATTTTGAGAATATCTGAATCCGATTTTTTTTCTTTTTCTTGTTTTTGTTTTGAGAAGATTTACGCTCTCGTACCATACAACATAAGAATCTTGACACTGGGTGTGATTAAAGTGCAAGATCTTACCATGGTTGCCCCATTCCACCGAGTCGTCGGGCCAACTGAATATCCTTCTTCACTGAGGCAAGAAAGGAAATGGAGTTAGTTTGCTCCTTCTGGGAATGGAACACATTATTTGTTAAACTCATTGTAAATGAATCTAAAAAACAAATATTTGTCTCTTTGAAACTGAGAAATCATGTTTTTCAATGAGCAGACAGTTTGAAACATGATTAGATGGTAACGAACGAATGGCAACAAGAAAGAGTTTCCGAACGAGTGGTTCCCGTCCATAAACTTCACTATGCTATAAATGCAGAATAAACTTCACTATGTTTCCACAATTTTTGAGAGATTCAACCATAGGCCGAGACCCAGGGCATCAGTCTGCTTACATGATCTCTAATTAATATAGAGAACAAACTTCGGCAAATCAAATACACAACATCCTAGCATCAGACTAAATAAAACCTGGAGTTGCTGCATAATGTTATTACGCCTACTTTTAGGTTGCTATAACCATTCTAAACTTAGAAAAACCCAGAAATGTAGGAGAAAATATCCCAATATAAACTAGTTCAAACAAAAACATCAGTTTCTCCATTCTTTAACTTACTCAGTGTAACACGCTTCGCATGAATTGCGCACAGCATTGCATCTCCAAACAATTGAATCAAATATTCTTCTGCTGCCTAGAAATGCATAAAAGGTCATACTCTTTGAAGTAGAAAGTAGCAAAAGCATGATACCACTAATTGCCTTGTTAAATGGCAACCAAACTACAGTTCATCACAATCATACAGTTAATTTACCAAATGGAAATTAGCATACTCGTACTATACTCAAATTCAACTCTACTTTTTGGATACATAAATATCTTTGTTAATGTTGGCAATCTAACCTTTGGCAGCATGACAATATGGAGACTAGGGAGCATGATATATAACAGACCCACCACATCTGGAATCAGATGCAAAAAAAAATATCTTGCACATTTGTGTGTGCATTATGTGCGAGTCTACATTTCTATTTATATTTGAAGGCTTATCATTTCCTTTATAAAAGGTAGGATAAGTTACCAAACCTCTTGAATTGCAACTAAAGCTTCAGCTTGCCAACGACCTATGTCTGGCGCAAATCGGTAGCTAATAGCTCTTACCTACAAAAATTCATATTGAACATCATTGCTTCCTGATTAGCCTCGTAAGAAAGGTAAAGCATAATGTACTGTCGAGACATTTTTTCCCCTTTGTATATGTCACAAGTGCAATATTAATGTCAGCTATTTGTGAAATTTCAGGGTCAAAGATAGAAATTTAATATGGTGCCTTTCTTCAAATTCAACTATAACTTGTACTGAGAATTAATAAATCTTACTTCAATCTCAAGCATTAATTATTAGTTGTAACAAGGCAGTAACTATACTGAATTGCATTCAACTAATAATGCAGTCAAGACAAAAAGCCAGTTTAGAGAGAGTGCTTACTTCTCTGATGAAGCTGGCAGCAGGGATGAGTCGATTCGTAGTCTTCTGGTATTTCCGAATCTCTTGAAGAGCCCTAGTTCCTGGTTTAAAACGATGAGGCTTCCTCGCTGTTCCTTGAGCTTCAAAAGAAAAAATAGAAAGTTCAGTATTTAATACAGCGTGCATTTTGTTACCTATAGAGGGCTATCATGTCTCAGAAAAAACTCACATGATGTGGCTTGTCCTCCAGTTTTATTTGTCCTTATATTGCTAGCCTTCAGAAACAGAAGGGGGGGGGAAGCAAATTCAACCTCAGATTTAAATCACAATTGAGATAAAGAAAAGCGGCAAAATTTAAGGGAAAACAAAGATAACAAAGAATAGATAAAAAATGGTACAGTTGGATGTTGGGAGGAGTGGAAAGTAGATCACCTTTCTCCTTATCTCTTTGTGCTTTGAGGGGTGATTTCAAATTTCATCCAATATCATTAAATTTAACTTAATCGCCTTTGTTTGGCTGAAGACCTCAAGGTCTTATGTAAAGTTACTATAGAGATTATGTTCTTTCTATTCAGATGATCCTTGGAGCTTTTAACAGAATCTCAGGGTTACTGTCAACAGTTCAAAAAATGAATTGTTTTTTCCCAATGATTAGTCAATTGAGGATATTTATGCTATTCAATTTTCTACTGATTAAAAATAGGTAACCTTATGGTATTGCTTGTTTGGACAAGGTTGAGTGATAAAGATTGTGATCCATTGATTAAGAAAATCACAAGCAAGAAGAGTCGGGCTGCCAAGAATCTTTCTTATGCTGACAGAATATGGCTTGGTTAATCCAACCAGTTTTATTTAGCATGGAAAATTTTATGATCTACGAATTTCATTCCACCTCATAACATTATCAAGAAGATTGTTCAGTTGAACAAAATATTTCTAATTAACTAAATGTAAATTGTTGTACGGATATAAATTGCATTCACATTTCTAGGATTTAGTTACAGGCAACGAAGCGTGACATAACTCGAACTGCGACCTATACTGAAATCTCTTGTTCGTTTCATTGTTTTCCTACTTCTGCAAGTTGTTTCCTTCTTTTCTTCGAAAATAAACACTAAATCTGAAAATTTTAGATTTGCTAAATATCTTGAGTTTTTCGAACTTTTGTTCGAGTCTTCATTTCTTTACTCTATTAAGCCACCAAATAGAGATGAAAAGCAACAACAAAAATTGACACTGAAGACTCTTCTACTATTGATTTTCCAGAAAACAATGCCAAAATACCAACCAACCCCTAATTCCCAGGCAATGAGAATAAGGAAAGGAAAATTATCAAACAAGAAAGCGAAAGAGAGAGAAAGAGAAAGACGAAGGTACCGAGTGGGTTCTGGGAGACGCCGTCGACGGTGAGGCCGCGGTGGCAGCTGCTTTTTCTGTGGCTAATTTTAGAACTAAAAGTTAGCAAAACCCTAAACCAAATTCGTCCGTTCAGAGAAATATACAACAAAAAAGGGAGAGGAAATACCAGATGGCTTTTGTTTTCGTTTCATAGAAGCGGCATGCTTGGTTCTCGCCATGGGAGGTCTGGCTATTAACACCTGAGTCTCGCAGCTGCGTCGATTTCTATTCGACAATTTTCAAGATTTATTTCCCGCTCTATCTAACTCCACATTTCTCTCGCATTTTGATCATTTGTTTGGTTTTTCATTTTGCTATTCGGTTTCTATTCGATTTAAATAAAAATCAAAAGATATTTGTTGACTTCATTATTAATATATTTTGAATGAAATAATTTTAAAATATAAGGATAAAATATAAAATATTTTGTTATTGTTGACTTTTATATCATGATATTTTAAATGAGATAATTTTAAATTTTAAAATACACATATTTAATGGGACGAATGAAATAAAAAAAAATCAAAGACGACAAGAAAAAGGGAACACCATATCCAAACATAAGAGAAATATAATACCTTTTGGTTGCTGACGATTCATAGCAACTTTTGATGATCTGAGCGATGAGGGAGAGTGTCAGAGCAATGAGAGCAGTATACTCGAAAATCAGCTTGATCTGACAACTATATATCTAGACAAAATATGAAGTTATTTAAGTTTTCCATTTCAGATACGTGAAAACTATTTTTTTTTATAGAATTTAAGTATAAATCCAAGTTTAGGTTGAAGAGAGGATTCGAAAAAAGCCTTTTAGGATTTTTATCATCGTCAATGGCGATCGGTCGATGATGGTGAATGATGGTGGGCAGTAGTGGTCTATCAATTTAGATGGCATTTTTTAAAATGAGAAAATATAAGATTTTAAAAACCTTTAAGTTTGGGCGTTGTGGGAATACCCTCACATTCCCACATATAAATTATTCCCAAATCTAATTTGTATCGATTTTAAATATACCTCTAAAGTTACTTTTTTTTAAGAGAACATTTAAGAACTTAATGGCTCTCATTTTCAAAATACATACATATCGAAAAATATTTTTGAACCTAAAATCATAATCTACAAAACATACTTATATTTTTTTATGAAAAAATTTAATGACGTGTAGACTCGAAGTTGGAAATCTATTTAGGGCTCATAGCTAGTTTTAAAATTTTGGAGGTCGGTGTACAATTTTATCAATGTATTAACTTATAAATTTAGAAATTTTAAAGGGACTAAAAAAAGGAAAATTTCTCATTTTGGGCCAAGATCACTTCACATTCCTGATGTCATCGCTAATGACGTGTCATTATTTTGTTCATTGTAAAAACAAACATATATTTTTCTCCATGTTCTCTCTTTAAAAGCTAAAACCTTAACTTTATTTAGTAGTATTGACCGCCATCTTTCTTCGAGATTTTCTCACCCGTCTTCTCTTGATTTCTCTTTTCCTTCATTTTCGTCGCTCTTTGTAATTACTTCCCATTTTGTCTTCTTCGTTTACCACAAGTCCTATTTTCTGATAAAAGGAGTTATTCCTTTCTCTTTCTACTATCAAAATAATTATTATTTGTTTTTATTTAGGTATTTGTTATATTCTCGATAAAGAAATAAAAAAATTAAATAATTAAAATTAATATATTTTCATATTTCTTTAGTTACATTCATAAAATCTAATTTTTTGAGAAACGAAGAGAGCTTTCATTTCTTAGATTAATTCGTATGTAGCTCACTTCTTCTTGGGTGTGAAGCAGTGTCAAACCAAAATATCCAACAAACATTAGTTCTCCTTGAAAAGTAGGTGATCCAGTTGCACCTTTCACTACGGCTACCTTATCACGACTTCACTTCAGTCACTAGTTTTGTCTTCGGCATCCCTTTCCTTGTGGTTAAGGTAATGATTTTGGGTATGACTAGCTCTCATAGTATGACGGCGATGTGTAAAAGGCCCGATAACTAATTCACCGTGGTATAGTTAATCGATGATAATTAGTGATTTTGGCTTCATACAAGCGAGTTGCAGCCTGTAATCCGAATTGTTGATGAATTTTTTTGAGTTAGCTCACCCTCGCGGGATTGCGACCTTTTCTCTCATCCATTGTAGCACGTGTGCCATCCAGGGCATAAAGGGCATGATGACTTGACATCATCTTGACCATCTTTCGCTTATCACATAGAGTCTATTTGAGGTTTTGAATTTAACAGTGACAACTAAACATGAGGGTTGTGCTTGTTGCGAGACTTGATCCAACACCTAACGGCATGAACTGACGATAGTCATGTACCACCTATGTCCACGATAACTTGTTTATCATATATGTATTTTTAATTTATTTTCTTAAACTTATGAGTTGTGATATTTGCTTCTGGTTTGTCGATTTTTTTAAACAATCGCTATGTAGAGAAGGAGATGAAGAATTTTACTCTTAATAAATATTAAACCCGTGATATAAAGGATATGTCAATTGAACTATCTTAACCATATGCTATAAAATTGTTGATGTTAAGGACCTTATTAATCGTTAATAGTCCGGTTTAACTTTATAACTCCAATAAATAAAATTTTAGGTTAAGAAAATATAATTACGAATATAGATTTAGAAAACGAGTTTAGATTTTATAAATAAGGTAAGTTATATAATATAACATTATGCTTATTTTTCATATTAAAAATGTATCTATTTATATTTATATACGGTAACTAATTTATAAATGATATGTGATTTCTTTTACAGACTCCATATCTAATATGAAGTCTAAATTCAAATAATTTTCTTCTTTGGTAAATAAATAATCTGTTTTTGGCAATTTATTAAATAAATAAGCTGTTTATATTAATTAATTTTTGTATTGTTGTAGCAGAAATTTTTATTTTAAATTGTGTTTTCTTCAGCTTCTGTTTGTGGCAGAGATTCTATCATCGTCTGTTTCATCTCAATTCAAATCCCCAATTTTTGAAAAGCAAAAACCCTTAACTGCACGAATTTCATCGGAAGGTCAACCATTTCAATAGTCTTCTTCTCCGATCGTTGCTTTTTTTCGCATTTGCTATTTCGTAAATTATTCACCTTTGTTGTATTTCTTCGATCGGGGGACAGTTCCCAATTCCCAGGATTGTTGTGGTTTCTGTTTTGTTTATTTGTATCTAGGGTTCTTACTTGATTAATAAAAAAATAATCAAAGTTTGATTTTTTCCGTTTTGAAGAAAAAAAATTCGTCGATTTCACCAGGAAGTCGTACATATTGAGAAACAGTCAATTTTCCCGGATTTTTTTTAATGTCAAATAGTTTTGAAATTTAATTCTTCGTTTTCGGTTGCGTTGTGGCGGTTGAGAGGGTTTTAGAAAGTTGTTGGTGGAGAGGATTGCATGGGAGAGCATGGATGGTGGAAGGCACTGGGCGGGTTATTACCGAACGGCGGCTTGTCACCGAATGAAGCCGGTTCGATGGATATGATATTTGACTCGGAGCGATGGACCATGGCTGAGGAAAGAACCGCCGAACTCATTGCCTGCATACAGCCCAATGCAGTCTCGGAAGGTCGCCGGAATGCTGTCGCCAACTATGTCCAGCGCCTCATCTCCAAATGCTTCCCTTGTCAGGTTGTATATAATGTCATTCCATTGTAAATTCATTTTTCTCAATGAATGCCGTTATTTGAAATTCATGGAAATAATCGAATGGATTCGTTCGATTAAAGTGCTAAAGGTTGGATGAAGTACATTCATTTAAGTTACGATATTTGCCTTTTGAATTTGGGTGGATGAGTAGATGGTATCGAGTTCATCTATCAGTTAGAGTATTAATTGTAGTTTGCTTGCTTTATGTTGGCAGGTCTTTACTTTTGGGTCTGTGCCCCTCAAGACATATTTACCAGATGGGGATATCGACTTGACCACTTTCAGTAAGGATCGAAATTTGAAGGATACATGGGTTCATCAGGTTCTTGATATGCTGCAAAATGAAGAAAAACACGAGAATGCTGAATTCCGAGTAAAAGAAGTTCAATACATTCAGGCCGAGGTAAACTTTTAATGAGATGCCTTTTCTTCGCATTGCCTATGGAGCCTTTCTCAAGAGTCTTGGCTTTTGTTTTTCTTCTTAGGATCTCTTGTTTACCATTCTGTCAACCTTTCAATATCCTTTCTTTCCCAGATATTTTCAATTAAAATTCACATTATTGTGCTGCTTACTTACAATAATTCATTTTGATAAAACTCTTTTCCTTATGCACATGCACTTTCAGGTGAAGATAATAAAGTGTCTTGTAGAAAACATTGTGGTAGACATTTCATTTAATCAGCTTGGTGGATTATGTACTCTTTGTTTCCTTGAAGAGGTTAGTGATGCAAAACCTGCCACTGCATGTGGCATATTCATTTCTGGAGTTTCTGGAATGATAGACCTTTTAGGAATTTGTGTAAGCTTTAACCTACCTTAATGTCCATGTCTATAGGTTGATCTTTTGATAAATCAGAACCATTTGTTCAAACATAGCATCATATTGATAAAGGCATGGTGTTATTATGAGAGCCGTATATTGGGTGCCCATCATGGACTTATCTCAACATATGCCCTGGAAACCTTAGTTCTTTACATATTCCATGTTTACAATAATTCCTTTTCTGGACCGCTTGAGGTGGCTATTTTTTCCTTTTTATTTTTATTTTTTTTTATTTTGTCTGCATATCTGTCTGATATCCTTTTCCTATGTAGGTCCTGTATCGTTTTCTTGAGTTCTTTAGCAAGTTTGATTGGGAAAAATTTTGTGTTAGCCTATGGGGTCCTGTTCCAATTCATTCACTTCCTGACATAACAGGTACTACAATTTCTGGGACATCTAGTACTAAACTTTGACCAAGAGTCTTCTACTTGCAGAATGTTTGCCTGTTCTGTAGTCTTAATTACATTGTTTAATTTTTTTTATTATATATATATTTTTTTGGCAGCTGAACCTCCTCGAACAGATGGTGGAGAGCTGTTACTTAGCAAATATTTTCTTGATACTTGTAATTCACGATATGCTGTTTTCCTAGAAAATCAGGACCAATCCTTTGTTTCCAAACATTTCAATGTAATTGATCCTTTGCGTCTAAGTAACAATCTTGGACGCAGTGTTAGTAAAGGTATTTACATCTATAACTTTGTAGTGATTAATCCTTGTACATTTTTTACGGTTCTCTTGATTTTTTTACTATTATCTTCAATTCTATGTTTCCAACACTATGTTCCATATATATTTCATAAGTTTCTATCCTCAGATAAATATTTCATATATTAAATGTCCTTTTTCCCCATCTGGTTTCTGTATGGTCCTACAGAGTTCTTTTGAAGGTAGATTACAATGAACTTTTTAAGAGGGTCACTTGATCGAGAACTTATGAAATTGAACTTAAGTCGGTAAAATGCAAGGTGAGGAGACTGTTAATGGGGGAAGGAAGTCGGTATAGTAGACTATGTTACATGGACTCATGAGTGATTGTTTTATATGAGCACGTGTTTGACATAGGCTCACTCACTTTTTTAAGAAGGATTTTCATATTTTGGAGATCATAGCCCCATGAGTTAATACTTTAGTGAAAATGAAGAGTGTTGGTAACATGCATAGCAAACAGTTTTTTTTTATAGAAAGTAGGCCTCATTAAAAACCCCCTTCAAACCCTCCATGTTATGAAAGTAACATGAAGGATGTAAGAAGGAGGAAAAGGGTGCCTAGAAACTTTTATTCATAAGAACAATATTACATAGGCAGAACAGACTCCTAAACCTTCAACTGAAGAACATAAGACTTAACTCAAAACACCTAACAATACAGGAAGATACATTCCTACGAATCACCACAATCAAATAAACCAAAAAATCACCCTATCCCATCTTTAGCTAGTTTTTCAGCTTCCCAGTTTGCCGCCCTCAAAATATGCCTAATAATAATATCCTTTCCTGCCAAAAGCGAAACTATATCCTTCACCAAGGATAGAAACAAAGGGGTGCATAAACCCGGATTCTGGATCCATTTCAGAGCATTAATTGAATCGGATTCCAGAATAAATCTGTTATTAGGAACCGAACCTAACTCATCCATAAGACAAAGCCCCCTCTTAATTGCCAACAACTCTGCCATGATAGGAGGACCACCCCTTACTGTTTCAGAGAACCACTGCAACATCACTCCTCTACTATCCCGAATCAGACCACCAATACCTCCTTTATCCCACCCCAAAACCATCGCTCCATCAACATTTAACTTTAAGAACCCATCCGGGGGAGATGCCTAGCAAACAGTTAGAATCCTAATTTTGTTTACATCTTCATAGTTTTGGCTCTTAACTGGAAATTGATATGATTAAGCATATCATGAATGAAAGGTGAATACTATAAATTCTACATGTACAACTATGTAAACCTTTTTGTCAGTTTTAATTCTTGAACTGTTTTGTTGATTTTCTGGTCTACTGTATGCAACTGCTAATTGGTTTTCTTGCGCATAAAATTAATTTTCTATTTTCCAGGTAATTTCTTTAGGATACGGAGTGCGTTTTCATTTGGAGCTAAAAAGTTGTCAAGATTACTTGATTGTCCTAAAGAGGACCTGTGTTATGAAGTAAATCAATTCTTTATGAATACATGGGAAAGGCATGGCTGCGGCCAACGTCCGGATGCACCAAGGAATGATTTGCGGCTGTTGAGATTTCTAAATTCGGACCCCACTCATGGATCTGAGAATTTCAGGAACAATTCAAGCACCAATGGAAACCATATTTCCTCAGGGCATGAAACTCAAGCTGAAGGAGTTCAAGTATCAAGTGGTGTTTCCTTACATAATGTCAACCATCCATTGGAAAGCACAATTACTGATGTCTCTACTGCTTTTGATGCAAAAAGCCAGAAGACCTATGGTAGCATGAGCAACTCAAAGACCTCTGATCAGGCTAGACGGAAAAGTAATTCTAATCAGTATATGCTTAATGATAGAGGTAAGAGAATTTTAAAGCAGAGATTTGGTGACTGGTGTTCAAGGAAGAAATCTTTTTGCAAGAACACGTTCCAGTCCTGAGCTTACTGAAACTTTTGGGCAAGTTACTTCTCAAGGAAGGCGGAACATGATGCTAGAGAGTGGGAAAGCCGAGGTCGGTTCAATACGATCAGGTAATAATGGGAGGAAGAACATGGAATCTGTTACGGTGGCAATCAATAACATTAAATCTTCACGTGATGATCCAATTGAGCCTACTAGCAGTAACTTTAGTTCTCAAGAAACTAATCCTGTAAAAGTGGAACATGAGTTATGGTGCGAACAGGAAAGAGGCTCTAATGGTGGTTTTGATCTTGATAATAGAAGTTTTGAAATGCTTCAGTCAGATGATAAGCAGTTTTCAACTTCAGCAGGCTCTAGGGTTGGCATCTCTGGTAGTTCTAGTAAAGCCCAACAGAAGTTTACTAAAGAAACTCAAGTATCAAGAGAAGATCGTTTAGATGTTTGCCAATATCAAGATAATAGAGCTAGTGATGTTTGCTTAGATGAAAAAATTGCAAGTTCTGGATCCATGCCTGCTTCACATACTAGTTCAATTAGAAGTAAAACCTCATTAGAAAGTTCTTGGGAAGGCTCATCAGCAAGGGTCTCTCAGCCTGCTAGGGAGGAGCAAGATAGGAAAACAGCTGCTTCTGTCCTTCCTTCTGCTGCATGTGGGGATGGTAAGAGTGTATCTGAACACTCCTCACAGGTAGATGATGATGACAATTTGCCATCAATAGTGGGCACTGAAATGGTTGAACGAACTATTGGATCTCAATTGGGTGGTTTGTTGCGTGTTCAAAAGAAACAAATGCCTGGATTTGAGGAAGCTCAGATGAATGGATCAGATCCACTGATACCTAGTGCTCCATTCCTCTTAGGTCCAGATTCAGGCCAAATAACAGTGGATAATTCCGGAGCTCCCCCCTTGGTCTTCACGATAGCAGGGCCACCAGTTCCATTTTTGTTTTGTCCTGTGTACAACATTCCAGAAGAAACAGGAACTCCAGATGCATCAACAAGCCCTTTTTGTTGGGATGACGATTTGGATAACAATGATTCTGGTAAAAAATTTGAATCATCTGAGATACTTGATCAGTCTGAGGTGTTAAGTACATCTAGTTTTATGAGAGAGGTTTCATCTCTTGAGCCATCAGAGCATAAGTCTGACATTCTTGACGGTGACATTGCTAAGCATTGGCAAAATTTGCAGTACGGACGGTTTTGCCAAAATTTTAGAAATCCTCCAAATTTGATTTATCCTTCACCCATTGTGGTGCCACCGGTCTATTTACAAGGTCATTTCCCATGGGATGGTCCCGGGAGACTTCTTCCTTCCAACATGAATCTCTTTTCTCAACTTACAAGTTATGGGCATCGCATTCTTCCTGTTACTCCCCTCCAATCTGTTTCGAACAGACCTGCCAATGTATTTCCAAGGTATGTTGATGGAATGCCAAGATATCGCAGTGGTACGGGGACATTCCTGCCAAACCCTGTAAGTTACTTATGACAATCTGTTATGAGCCTTTATTACTTTAAATACCTGCCCCGAGGCATGCTTTGAGAGTAAGGTTGGTTACGTAGTCCTGTTTTTCCCATTCCCCATTAATTGGGTATGCACAATCATAGTGAACAATCATTTGAAATGCAGTGTTATTGGTCATAAGATACGACTACATTGGTCTGTTTCATCATTATTTTTAAGTGATCCTAATATTGTTTTGTTCCCAGTTCCTTGTCATTCAACCTCGAGAACTTAGTCTTCAATAACTTTGTATATGAATTTTTCTCTACTTCAGAGATTCCCGATGAGAGAACGCTATTCTGCAAACACAAGGAGGGGGAAATATAATTATGACAAAAATGGCCACCTTGGTGATAAAGAAGGGAACTGGAATGCTAATACCAAGTTGCGGACTGCTGGGCACAGCCATGGTCGCAACCAAAATGAAAAGTCAAGGTTCACATTTGACCATGTTGCAGCTGTTGCCGGTGAGAGCAGAGCTGAGCGGTCTTGGGGATCAGATAGACATGATTCATTTACTTTGTACCAGTCTCGGAATGGACAAGTCCGCTCAAACTCTTCACAAAGTAGTTCTGCCAGCATGCCATATGGCATGTACCCACTACGAGCCATGAACTCGAATGGGGTGTCATCTAATGGACCTAGTACCACTCCATCTGTTGTCATGATGTATCCATATGATCATAATTCTAGTTATGATAACCCTGCTGAGCAACTCGAATTTGGCTCTCTTGGGGGTTTCTCTGGCATGAATGAAGTGTCACAGCTAAGTGATGGAAGTAGCTCAACTGGAGTGTATGATGAGCAAAGGTTTTATGGTACTACTGCGCAACAGTCGCCACCAGACCAGCCTTCTTCGCCTATCTCCAAAGTTGGCTAAACCAATCGGCTTGAAAACTTCTCTGCATCTATAGTATGCTAATGTCGGACTGCCTGCCTTAAATACTCTGATTTTATTCTTCCATTTGTTTCGATCCGATTGTTTTCTAATGCTCCCATTTATTATCTTAACGGGGTATTTTGATCTCATTGCCAGATCCATGTCCTAGAAGAGTCACAATCGAGAGGTGAGGATTCCCGAGCCCTTGCTTTTCCATATGATGAGGGAAGAAATGATGGTGGCGATAAGAATAATGAGAAAACCTCCCCTTATCAGGTTTTTGTTCTCATCTCATTCATTAAAGCAAGAAGTGGGTTTTCTGAATCAGTGATTCTTACTGAATTTTCTCACAAGGTTCTGTCATCCATGCTTCTTGTCTTGTGCTTGTTTGTACACTATGACTGTCGAAAACCATTTTCGGAAGTGCTCGATTTTTCGAGGATAGTGGCAGAGTAACGACGAAAGGAATGCAGGATTCAGAACAGTTGATAGTGCTTAAATTTAGGGTTCTACACATTGTAACTAAAATAGGGTCTCTTTAGTAGTAACTCAGTTCTATCTATCATTTTATAAACCCTAGTGATTAGGATTTATTTCCAACATTGTAATAGGGTTTTTTTAATACCTTTTTGGTTTCATAACTAGCTCTCAATTTTGTTAAACTTTCTTGTTGAAAGTTACCATTGTATTAATAACAATTACATGGTTAAAAAAAGAGTTGATAAGAGAAATAGAAACTAGATGGTTCTTGCCTCTTTTCAATATTAAAAATGAGTTTTTTACTTCATTTAATTAGAACATACCATACTACGTAACGAGAAATTAAAATAATATTTATGTTAATTTTATAATTTATTTAAAGTTTTTTTTATAGAAGCTGTTAATTTTATTAAAACTAAAAAATATATAAATTAGTTTGCAAATACAATCATAAATTAAACATATAATAATAATATTTTCTTATAATCATTAATATTAGAAAACTAGTCACCTAAGATCACATAAAGACCATACAATAATTTTTTTTTTAAATTTAACCAAATAAATTTGAACAAAAAGTGATACGAATAGATCTGGTTGTATCGACGAATAGATCTGGTTGTATCGACAAATAAATCACAAGAGAGGATTAAACTATTGAAAGACAATCAACAAACGGCAAATCAGAGTCGAGTGATGTGAAAAACTATTAATAAAATAAATTATAATCTTGAAAAATATTAATAAAATAAGTTATAATATCATATTTTTTAACTGTCAATAAAATAAATTATAATCTTAAAAATATTAATAAAATAAGTTATAATATCATATTTTTTTAACTGTCGAATGATCAAAATAAAAATAACTCAATAATTAATGATTAAATTAAGTGTTGTTTTCAATAATTTAATAATTTTAACTTCAAACGAATTTGTCTTTTTTTAATATAATAAATGAATTGTTGATAATTAATTATTTATTAACTTTATATAATTCATTAATCACTACATTGGTTAACGGCTTTCGACAGTCATTTTCTTTCCCAAATCATGCATTTTAATTTAGGGTAAAGTCCATTTCAAAAAGAAAAAAAATAGGCTAAAGCATACGTTGGATTATATGATATTGCTTTATTGAGTCTTTCGACTACTAAAAGCTATAAAATGATCTCCGACTATAAAGCGTTATTTTGTTGAGTCCCTCGACTATTAAAAGTTACAAAATGCTGATAGAGATATAATAGTCGTTTAAGATTATGAGATTAGATTTTATTACATCTTAGTCAACAGTTTAACGTTCAGCTCATAATGACATCAATTGTTTGGACGAGTTTGGAACATAATGAAATCATTTTATAACTTTTAATAGTCGAGGGACTCAACAAAACAACACCCTATAGATGAAAGACTATTTTATAACTTTTAATAGTCGAGGGACTCAACAAAATAACATCTTATAGTCGATGTACCATTTATTTACTTTTACCTTGTAATTTACAACCAGAAATTTCAATACTCAATAAGTTTCTACTTATTGAAACAAATATCAGTGCAAAGCATCTCTCTTACCATCTCTGAAGTCCTAAGCGCTTGAATTTCAGCTTCATTCGGGAATCTTCGTTTGTTGGTAATGTTCAATCCCACATAGTATTGGAAACACTATCGGGAATGGGTATTTATGGTTTGGAATTCCCACTTCCTTGTTGAGTGAAAGAGAACAAGGGGGACTCTCGCGTATTGTCGCCGCTGCCGTCCGTCTCGTGGTCGTGGTCGTGGTAATACGTGTCTTCGACACGTCCGCGCGGATACTATCATTTTAGAGAAAATTCTTGAGGAATTTCTCTTTGAAAGAAACAAATGGAAAAATGTGAAAGATTTCAACTGATATTTATAGGCTGCTGAGGACTGTTTAATTTCAAATGATAACAGCTGGTTTATGAGAGTTATCAGAAATTAAACAACTTTTCCTAAATTAAATCAAAAACATTAAGATGTATCTGGACTGATTTCCAGCTTTGTACAGAGAGACAAGTTGTTAATATCATGAGTTATAGGAGTTATTTGATTTAATTCCAGGGGTTACATGATATAATTTCGGGAGTTATAACAGCTAAATAATGATGCAATGAACCTGGACTATTTTTGAGTCAAGTTCATCTAGACGTTTCAGCTGTTACAAAAGAATAGATTTAATCCTGAAATTTTATGGTCGATTTTAACCCTATTTATAGCCTATAAATAGAGGTCTATATTCAGCTTCTCAACTCACTCTCAACATTCAGAATTCACTCTCCAAGTGTTTTTCTGTAAATATTCTCTATGTGTGCTTTCCGATAAGAAGAGCAATACCACCGGCAGTCCACTCGATTTCAGGTGTACGGAATTCGGAGCGACCGTGTTAACCTCGGGGGACGGTCCGCCTACTGCAGCGATTACACACATCGGGACGAATTGTTTCTAAGGCAGTGGTTATACCACGACACGATTTACGAATATGTTTCTTTTAATACTGTTTATATTTCCAGTCAGTACTAACAGTGTAGTTTTGCAGTTCATATATCCAACAATTTAGAAATGAATTCTATATACTGCAATCATGTCAACACCTTTGAGAAAACTGATAACGATCTTTCCAAGCTCGATGCACTTGATGGAAATAATTATAGAAGGTGGTCCCAAAGAATCCTGATATTCTTCGAGCAACTTGATCTTGACTACGTCCTGCTCAAGCCACCACCTACCATGCCGTCAACCCCAGCTACCGGTAATGATGCTGATGCGATCCTCAATGATGATGCCTTAACAACTGTCGCTGCTGCACTCGCTACCTACGAGAAGTACGAGAAATACAACAAAACGGTGCGAGGACATCTGCTAAGTCACATGTCAAATAAATTATTTGATATGTTCCTTAGAGAAAGGAGTGCCAAGACAATATGGGATACTCTCGATAAAAAGTATGGTGCGTACGATGCTGGAATCAAGAAGTACGTTGTCGGCGAATGGCTCAAATTCCAGATGACTGATGACAAGACGATAATGGATCAAGTCCATGACTATGAGAACCTAGTCGCTGACATCATCGCTGAAGGGATGCAAATGTGCGAGGTACTGCAAGCCAATGTTCTCATTGAGAAGCTGCCCAAGTCCTGGTCCGACTACCGCAACTCTCTTAAGTATAAGAAGAGAGAAATTTCGCTTGAAGAGCTCGTGGGCCATATGAAGATCGAAGAAGCCAACCGTTTAAAAGATAAGCTTACTAATTCTATGAGTAATTTATCTTTTAGAGCTAACTTGGTAGAGTCTAAATTTAAGAAGATCATGAAACGTGGGAATCAAGACAAGAAGACGAAACCTTAGAAGGCTACCAACTTCAAGAAGTCAGGAAAGGCCAAACCTGAAGGAAAGACGCTCAAGTGTTATGTTTGCGGTTTATCCGGCCACAAAGCTTACCAATGCAACACCGTTCAGACCGCCATAATGACAACAAGCCACAGATACACGTTGTAGAAGAAGAAGATGATCATTGATGCGGTGGTCTCAGAAGTCAATCTGGTGGAAAACAGTTCAGAATGGGTTGTTGACACTGGAGCTTCAAAGCATTTCTGCGCAAGGAAGGAGTTTTTCACCGAATTCGATGATGGGAACGTAGGTGAACGTGTTTACATGGGGAACTCTAGCAGCTCTGAAGTGCTAGGCAAAGGCAAAATTTTACTCAAGGTGACCTCTGGTAAAACTCTGGCTTTAAATAATGTTTTGTATGTACCTGCCTTGCGTAGAAATTTGATAAGTGGTGGGCTTCTGAATAAGGCAGGCATTAAGTTAGTTTTTGAGGTAGATAAACTTGTACTTTCCCGAAATGGTGATTATGTTGGGAAAGGGTTTTTAAGCAATGGTTTATTTGTCATAGAAACTCAATTTAATGAAAATAAAGCTACCACTTCTGCTTATATTGTTGAATCCATTGATATGTGGCATGCTAGATTAGGACACGTGAATATTCATGCTTTAAAGAAATTGATAAATATGAATGTTATGCCTAAACTAGACACAACTAGCTTTAACAAATGTGAAATTTGTGTAGAAGCTAAGCATACTAGACCTCACTTTAAGATTGTTTCTAATAGAAAGACTGAGCTGTTAGAACTTATTCATACTGATCTAGCATATTTTAGAAACACTGAAAGTAAAGGAGGAAAACACTACTACATAACTTTTGTAGATGATTATTCAAGATATACAAAAGTTTATCTCCTAAGAACTCAAGATGAAGCTGAAAACTTCTTTCTTATTTATAAGGCAGAAGTTGAAAATCAGTTAGATAGGAGAATCAAACGGGTTAGATCTGATGGAGGTGGTGAATATGGATCTAATTTCTTAAAAGATATTTGTGAAAAGAATGGCATAATTCATGAAACTTCAGCCCCTATTTTCCTCAACATAATGGTATAGCCGAAAGGAAAATAGAACTTTAAAAGAGATGATGAATTATTTACTAATAAGTTCAGGGTTATCTGATAACATGTGGGGGGAAATTATTATATTGTCAACTCATATCTTGAACCAAGTTCCTCATAAGAAATTAGATTCTACCCCATATGAATTGTGGAAAGGATACGCTCATAATTTACAATACCTGAAAGTGTGGGGGTGTCTGGCTAAAGTGGGTTTGCCAGACTTTAAGAAGTCCACCATCGGACCTAAAACCGTTGATGCAGTGTTTATAGGGTATGGTATGAATAGTGTTGCATACAGATTCATACTTTTACAAGATTATTCTATTTGTGAGTCAAGGGATGCTATTTTCTTTGAAAATATTTTTCCTTTAA